TACATGAACAGTTGGAAGGTAGGAAAGAAGGAAGAAAAGAGGGACGGGGGGAAGGATCATGCAGTTTATCCATACATTTCTTCTGACCTTTTAAAATGCATTTTCCTTTATATAATTGATATACTACATTATAAGATATATGATTTTATATTCTGCTGTTTTGCTTAACATGTCATAAGCTTTTACTTAAAACTCTTTGAAAATAATATTTTTAATATTCTTTTATCAGACAGGTTGTTTTTAGTTTCTCAGCAATGCAAAGGATTATTTAGCAGACATCTTGGTTCACTATCTTTGTCTATATTTTGAACAGTTATTTTCCTCCTTAAGAGAGATTTCTAGAAGTAGAATTATGTGGCCAGATATGAACATTTTAAAGACTTGCTCTTTCTCTGTATATGGTCACATGGCTTTCCAGAAAGGGTGTACCAGTTTATAGTTTCTTCAGCAACAAATGAGAGTATCTGTCCTACCTCACCTTTAAATATTTCCTAATTAGAAAAGGTGAAATAGTAATATATTATTTTTATTTGCATTTCCATGATGATTAGAGATAATGAATGATTTTTAGTTTTTTTGAATGGGAAGGTAAGTTTTATTTCTTCCTTTGTGAATTATCTACTTATTGGGCTTTGGGTATTTTTAAAGAGATTTCTATGACCTCTTCATATATTAAGGAGATCAGCCCCTTGGCATATTTATATCAAATTTTTTAACCAATTTGTGGTTTGCCGTTGAATTTTTCGGTAACAGTTTTATTGAGATATAATTCACATAACAAACAATTTACCCATTTAAAGTATACAATTCAATGATGTTTTTGTATATTCACAGACTTGTGCAACTATCACTACAGTCAATTCTAGAATATTTTCATCGCCTCAGAAAGAAACCTCACACCCTTAGCTATCATCTCCCAACCTCCCCCAGCTTCCCAAGAACCCCAGCCCTAGGCAATAACTAATCTACTTTCTGTTTCTGTAGATGTGCCTATTCCGGACATATCGCATATTTGGAATCATATAATATGTGGTCTTTTGTGGCTGGTTTCTTTCACTCAGCGTAATGTTTTCAAGGTTCATCTATGTTGTAGCATATATTGGTATTTTATTCCTTTTTATGGCTGAATAATTTGTCAATCCATTCATCAAAGAATGGACAATGGGTTGTTTCCACCTGTGGCTATTATGACTAATGCTGCCCAAGCATTACAATTTAGTTTTTAGGTTTTTATAAATTTGTCTACTAAAATTTTAAATTCATGTCATCAACTCTATTGCTTTTTGGATTGTATTTCTTCAGTTGTTTTTTTTTTTTTTTAACTTTTTTATAATGTATTTATTTATTTATTTATTATGGCTGTGTTGGGTCTTCGTTTCTGCGCATGGGCTTTCTCTAGTTGTGGCAAGTGGGGGTCACTCTTCATTGCGGTGCGCAGGCCTCTCACTATCGCGGCCTCTGTTGTTGCGGAGCACAGGCTCCAGACGCGCAGGCTCAGCAATTGTGGCTCACGGGCCCAGTTGCTCCATGGCATGTGGGATCTTCCCAGACCAGGGCTCGAACCCGTGTCCCCCGCATTGGCAGGCAGATTCTCAACCACTGCGCCACCAGGGAAGCCCTCTTCAGTTGTTTTTAAACAAATCTTTTCCCAAAACAATGATAAAATTTTCAACCATATTTTTAATTTTTAAAATTTGTTTTCATTGTTCATTTCAATCTATAATCCATCTAAATTTTATTTTGGAGTGTGTAAGAATTAGGAAGATTCTAAACAGTCTCTCTGTCCCTCCATGCCCACCCCAAATAGCTAAATTTTTTCAGTACCATTTGCTGTCATCCTCACCAACCATTTTCTTTATTCTGTACTGATTTTTAGTGCTTTCTTTACCACGTATTAAGTTTTTATGAGAATGCAACTTGATTTTGCAGTTGTCTATTGTACTTAATTGCTTGGTTGAATTTTTTAATAAATTTAATATAAAATAAGACTATCCTTTATTGTTTTTTAAACTTTAGTAGGAGACACAAAACCTATATAAATGGAATTTTCCTAGATAGGAAAATTAAATGTTGTAAAGAAAAACATCATGGCAACTACAATTTAAAATTCAATGCAGCAATGGGTGTGTGACCTGTACTTTACATTTTATTTGAAAAGTGAGAAAAATTTTCTGTGTGATTATTGTTTTAGTCAGATTTTCTACTTATTTTGAGACAATTCTGGTAACATATTTTTCTATAAAAGTTGTATTGAAATTAAAAAAAAAAACTCTTAGCAATGAGTTTTCACATCAGTATGTTTCTAAAATTCTTCTCCATATCTGCTGTTATCATCTCTTTCTTATTTGGCTTATTTCTATTTCTCTGTTCTTTTCTTGATTATATTTACTAGAGCTTTGACTCTTTGGCCAGCCAGCTAATTGGGTCAGTAATTTGGGAGAAATGAAGAGATTTTCTTTTTAAAAATTAATTAATTAATTAATTTATGGCTCCATTTCGTTGCTGCACACAGGCTTTCTCTAGTTGCAGCGAGTGGGGGCTACTTTTCGTTGCGGTGCGCAGGCTTCTCATTGTGGTGGCTTCTCTTGTTGCAAAGCATGGGCTCTAGGCGCACAGGCTTCAGTAGTTGTGGCATGTGGGCTCAGTAGTTGTGGCTTGTGGGCTGTAGAGCATAGGCTCAGTAGTTGTGGCGCATGGGCTTAGTTGTTCTGTGGCATGTGGGATCTTCCTGGAGCAGGGCTTGAACCTGTGTCCCCTGCACTGGTAGGCAGATTCTTAACCACTGTGCCATGAAGGAAGTCCCTGAAGAGATTTCTTCTTTTGAAGCAATGGACTGTACTGTGGGTCTATCCCAATGAGATTATACCTGTACAGTAAATTATAATAGGTTGGTACCCACCACGCTAGCCACACAGGATAGTGTCTAAACAATTCTAGAATGATAAGTAGTTCCAGGGAGCTTCTTGCAGCTTTAAGAAACTGACTGAATGTTTTAAGTGAATGGGGTTATTTTCTCATCCAGGAAGAACCTCAGAAATGAAAAAATGGCATGTTCAGGCATCAAATAATACAAAATTAAAGCTTGATGTGGTGTTATATAATTATTAAGAAGAAGAATATCAATTATCCCTAATTTTGTGGCTCTTCCTTTCACAGATTCCCGTGGTGGGTGGGAGTTGCTTGGATGGCGTGTACAGCTCTGTCCATGGAGATGGTCCCTGGCCATTTTAGTAGTAACCAGTCAAGGAGAAAAGGATGTGGGGAAGGGCAGATCCAATGCAGAAAATGGCAGCCTCCCGTTAATTTGGCTTGGACTGCAGAGAGGTGGGAAGACCACTGCACTTAGCCTTTGCAGGGGGATAATTAGCACTGAGTAAGTGAGGTAGGACTGAAAGGAAAGGAAAGATAGAGGAGATTGATGGTTCTGATGCCTAGTCATAAACAGTTCCTCCTTGAAACTCCCAGGGTTCTTTGCCCCCTCTCTTAGCACTAAGATCTGCCTGGATTCATGCTGTGTGAACAAGGTCGGAGACCAAGCTGCACTCAGCTCGGCCTTCTGGAATAGTGCATCTTGGGAGAAATCACAGACAGGGGACAAGCAGCAGGAGTATGTGCCTCACTGCCCATCACACTTTGGGGCCTTGTGTAGACATCTGTCAGCACACATGTCAGGCTCTAGGACAAGACCCCTGTCCAAGGCTGTGGGGCTTTTAAATTGCGTATCTGGGAAGCCTCAGCCCCTCCCCCGGCCTGAGAAGGTCCCCGGAGGCCCTTGCCTCACAGTTATAGCCCTAGGACACGGTGGTGCTTGGTTCCCCATCCCTGCTCTGCCACCTCACCCTTCATGGTTGTGGGAGCACAGCCCTCCCCTGGCATGACCTGGGATCTAGAGTGCAAGCTTGTGTTACAGCTTTCTGTGGAGACATATCAGTGGCTGGTCTGCCACCCCAGCTTTCTCCCAGGAAGGATTGCACTCCTTCTGTGGGAGGCCAGCCTGCAGGAATCAGTCAAGTTAACCCCTACCTCTCACCAGCCCTTTTAGATTGCGGTCTCTCTGAAGGTAGGATGGACGTCTGGTTCACCTTCATGTCCTCGCAGTACCTAGTATGTTTGTCTGGCTCTGTCAGTGGTTTAGGAATGGAGAAGAGCAAGCCCAACGAAGGGACTAGATGAACCTTCCCTCTCCTTGTATCCATTCTTAACCATTTTGTTCCTCTTTGAGGAACACACACACACACACATGCACACACACACAGAATCTTGCACACAGGTACCCTATCAATCAATGAGTCCTGGTTAAGAGCCCCTGCCCTAGAATGCTGGTAGGTTCCACTCACCCCCATCTCAGCGTTACCTCATTCTGTGCCACGCCCTATCTGCACACCCGTGCTCACCTTCACTGAATCTGTGCACGCTCTAATCTTTCCACAGCAGACGTGTTGGCTGTGGTACTGATTTGGAACCCGGTTATACTCTAAGATTTGTTGAAAGTGATTGCTTTTTACCCCGGCTCCAGAGAGAGTACGTTAGCTAGCCATGACCCTGAGGAATAATCGCTTCCTGGAAAGCGCAGGTTTTACTTGATGTTCAAAAGATGATCTTTAAGTGGACAGTCCGTTCTTGAGCCCCCCTGAGGAGAAGGGGCCTCTTTCCTCACAGTCACTGAAGCCAGCCCTGCAAGAAGTCCAGAGGTAAAGCTTCCAGAAATCTATTGTTTGCGACTAGACCTGTCAGCCTCAGACAGCAGCCTGCCTCAAATTTTTTGGCTTTTCTCCACACCATCGTCCTCTTGTGTTCACCCTACGCTCATGGCCTCCATGGTGGTTGACGTTTCCCCATGAGGTCCTCTTTCATGATTTCCTGAGTCACTACCTTCAGCCCTATTTGTTTGACGGTTGGAGCCATTTCCTATTTGGTAACTTCTGGGGTTTTAATGGGGGTGGAACATGCCCAGCACCGCTTCCTTCTCTTTCCATTCAGCTGTGTTCTCTGTGCCACAGATTCTGGCTGCGACTCAGTCACTGACACTGAGACCGAGGACGAGAAGGTCCTTCCCTACTCGGAGCAGCAGATCCTGCCATCGAAGACTTCACCTGGGAACCTGATGGTGGTGCAGCCGGACCGCATCCGCTGTGGGGTAGGCACTGCTGGGGCTGGTGGATGGATGTTGGAGCATGGGCTTTGGGGCTTTTCAGTGGAAGTTTGTTGTAGTAAAGGCAGCGGGGTTCTCCTGTTGCACCTTACTATAATCCCAGCCTTCCTGTGGGGTTTCCCTGTGCACTAGCTACCCTGCGACCCCCAGTGCCTGGGCCCTGGGCACACCTCACTCCTTTAAGTCAAAGGGAGACGAGCCCAGGAATGTATGTGTCATCAATCTAAGACATTAAGTTCATGATCAAAAACTTAAAACGTGTTGAAGACCAGCAGACATGAATATTACAAAACACTTATATGCCAACCCTGAAGTTAGAGGCCTGGGTCTGTTCCTTCCAGCCTAGCTCTGGGCATTTTGAGAGCTTGCTTCTCCATCAACTGGCCCCCTTTATGGCCCAAATGAATGCCTTGAAGCTCGGTGGCTGAGACTTGCTGCCCAGCATTGCTTGCAAAAGGGAGAAAATTAATGCCTGCGCATGTGACTAACGTTTTCAGGGGTAGGACCTATGTTAAGAGGTGACCTGAATGTGATGGCCAACTGATGGGCCACTGTCATTTGAATCCTATCATAGTATTGATAGTTTTTCATTATCTTTCTTTTCCTGATGAGAAATGTGTGATATTGGTTCAGAGCACTGAAACACTTTTTGGTGGGTAGGAGCCCTGTGCTAAGTTTGCCACTGTGGGATCCTGTAGGCAAGAGGGCATGATGGCCATGGAAATGGGAAGTCCTAGCTTCCCTGCACTTGTGAGTGCTTTTCTGCGCGGCCTGAGGCCACGAGGCATTGGGCAAGGACTCCCTCCATGAGGGCTGCAAACTGCTGCTTCGGGCTGGATTGAACTCATAGACATGTTTGGTTCCAGCTGCACAGTGTTTTAAAGAGTTAGGCATGAAAACCTGTTTCCAGCCTCCTTTGAATCAGAATCTGGTAATACCAGACCTGAGATGAGCAGCTGGGCCAAGTGACCCTTTAGATGGGGCTGTGCATCCCAAGGTCACTGGTTCTCATCACTCCCCTTTCTTTGTACCCACTTCACTCCTTTTCCTTACCGTCCAGGCCTTTGTAGTGGGCATTTCAGTTTCCAGTGCCCTCGTACTCCTTCCTGCCTGCCCCACGCCCCTTTCATCCTGAGACCACGCTGGTGGGTGCCTGTGGGGAGAGGATTTAGAACTAAAGGATGATGCCCCTCCCATGCCCCCTGGTTTTCCAGGCTTTGGCTCCTTCTCCTGTGCTGGTTGCCACTGACCCAGGATTCTCACTGTTGCCTGCTCCAGGTCCCTGGCTCCTGGGGCAGCTGGGCTGGGGTTGGGTCATGACTGTCAATAGGAGAGACACATTCGTCTTCTCTGGCTCCCCATGCTCCCTGGGAGAAGGGGCAGGTGGGAGAGGGCTAGACCTTCAGTGGGAGTCAGGTCAACCACAAACACACTCACATTCACCCTAAGCAGTCTCCTTGAGCCAGGACCACATCCCCCTCCCACCTGTTCCGGAATCGTGGCCCTTGTCACGAAGGCCTACTATAAGGGCTGGAGAGCAGAATCTTGCAATGAACATTTAGGGATTAGCTGTGGCCAGAAATTTCTCCTTTTCCCCTGCTTTTTGGAGGGCCTGTTCTTTCCAGTTCAGTGTCTTAAGAGCTTAACCGCGTAACCAGCCCAGTAAAACAGATAATTCCATTTAGCAGGTTGGGCAGGAGGTCTCAAAGCAATGTAAAATAGCTACTTAGGTTGCTCAGTGCCTTGGGAAAATTAATCCTCCAGTAAGTTATTTTTGTCCATCTAAGAACAGCATAAATTGCAGAACCCAAGAGGGCTTCTCTAAATTAGTACCTCTTACTCTGTAAGGTGCATGAGTCACCCAGGGGTCTTGGTAAAATGCAGACTCTGGTGTGGTCGGTCCAGGCAGGCTTGCGATTCTGCATTTCTAACAAGCTTTCAGGGATGCCAATGCTGCTGGTCCCTTGGCCTCGCTTTGAGTAGCAAGGCTGTTCTAGAATAGTGCTTCTCAAACTATCTGTGGTGAAGAACTTTCAAAAATTTTTGTTGTTTTAAATTTCCAATTCTGCCATGGGCCAATACTTTTATAATATACAACAAAAAAGAAATGCTATAAATATTAAATAAAAAGACATATGAAATACAAGCCCCAGGTTTTAAAATTATTATTAGGTTTGACAGACATAAAATTACTCTATCAAATTGCTATTAAGGTTTATAAGTGTTCACTCTTGGTTTTTGTAACTTGTCTTGTTGGGACCCATGGCAAGCAGTCACTGCCCGCCACTGGACTGCAGACCCCACCCTGCTCTGGAACAGCCTCACTAGGTAGAGCTGGGGCTGCAGAAGCTGGGGAGGCCCTCTGGCTCAGCACCCTAACAGGAGGGAGAAGGGACAATGACCGGTTTCCCATTCCAGGCAGAAACCACTGTCTACGTCATTGTGAGATGTAAGCTGGATGAGAGGGTGACAACAGAAGCCGAATTTTCTCCTGAAGATTCTCCCTCGATAAGGGTGGAAGCCAAGCTGGAGAATGAGTACACCGTCTCCATGAAAGCTCCCAGTAAGTTGCCCCATTTACCTCCAGAAATTAGGCATCATGTGAAGAGGCCCCCTCTTACTTTCTTTTACTTGCCGACAACTGTCTTCATCAGCTACTGAGAAAAGTGGCAGCCAAGATGTGGATTTGGTTGCCATGTTCTATTTAAAGGAAAAGGAAGTTGTATAAACATATACGTGTGATTGGGGCGGGGGGAGATGGATATACTAAAATGTTTATAAAGTTCATATATTAACATTTTTTGAAATTAGAGAAAAATAGGAAAAGTAGGGGAAGAA